GACACAAGTTGTGGCTGCCACCAGACTTGATGATCATGCATTCTCATGGTGTGGGTTGTGGTACAGTAATTTAGACTACAGTGAATTAGATAAATAAGTAAGCAATTATTTGTTCAGGGGTATTACTGAATATACTGTAGTTGTCACGAACACAGACTGAAATCCATGTCAGGTCTTGTAGTAGACCCTATGCGATGCGGTAAGAGCTGGAGAAAACAGGTTAAAATTCCCGGGAGGGGGGAACACACGGACAGACAAAACATGGAGGTCCAAGGGTGACGGGGCGAGATCCTCCAGACCCCGGGCTCAGGAAGCGGAAGGTGTCGGGAATGAGGCCTATGCCCTCAGGAGACAGACGTAGGGTTTCCTGATGCTAGGCGGGGCCTTGCGACATCCTTGCCCTAATGATGAGCACAGAGGACTGGAGGAACTATTCTTTAAATATTAAAGCTAAGAGGGTACACCTGGGGAGCTTAACAATCACAAGGACAATAATGGGAGCAGTGGAGCGCCCTCTAGGGAGGGATGTCGGGCATGACAATAGTCTTGACTGCAAAAAAGAATGAATAATATAATTTCCTCTTAATGTCTCTCTGTACATGCTAAAACTTACTATATTATACATTTTGCTTTCAGATTTAAAATAAATTATGTTAAATATTGTAGAGCAGAAGCTATGTTTTTGCTTCAGTTTTGTATTGGAGATATATTCAGTTTTATATTTGTCTACATGGAATCGGAGGGCAATTGGAAAGTTGTATATTTTGCTTTGGCACTGACCTCAACCTGTGAGATAGCCCTTGGGGTGTGGATGTACTGTCAATTGGGCTAGAAGTCATTCTCTGAAATGTTGTTTAAGAATCAGGTTCTCACAGCAAAGAGTCCGCAATACATTAGTCTAGAGTGACACCTACCCACTTTTTTTGTAACTGTAACCTAAATAATTCAAGCACAGCCAAGGAGAAATTCACTTGGCTCCTGGCATATTCATTGCAATGTAAAATAAAATATATTGAATTTGACATATTTGAAAGACCTTATTTTTAAATTAAGTGAACCTTCATGGATCTACAGTATGAAGTTTGTAATTAGAAATCTATGGAACATTCCAATGGACCAAAAACTGATATTCATAAAATATTTTAACATATTTTGTTCTTATGTTTCCTTTCCCCCTCTCTGATCCTCACTTGCTGTTAACTAAGTTGTTTGTTCTTTTCATATTCCTGAGCCTTGTTCTCCCTCATTCTTCCCCATTGTTCACTTGTGATAATACAAGAAGCATCAGGACTGTGCCATATCTGGTGCTGACTCAAGACCCTCCAGATCAGACTGTACATTGAGTGTCTGAAGTTCATCCTGTATTGCTGAGCTTTGTACAATCTCTGGACTTTGTATTGCAACCCTTGTCTCTAACTCTGGTCCTAGAGAGCCTCAGAGAGCAGGTTTTATACTGTAGGCAGCTGTTAAACCAACCAATTTATAAAGAACCATTTTACTATAATCAAATAAACAGCTGGTGTGTTCAACTAAGTTATTTAGTGGTCATTTGGAACTAATCTCCAGCACATGTTCTCCAATACAAGGGTTGTATACCCCAGACCTAAGCTGTACTTTTAGAGCCTTGCATTGCATTCTGAACCTTGCATTCTTTCAGTTATTTCACTAATTGTTTTTTATACAAGACTAGTTTATGTATTTTTAATGTTATGGTGTTCACTGATGATTTTAATTTTGACTGACTTTCAACAAAAACACCAATTTAACAACTACTGTATAATGTTTCAAAGGCCTCTGCATGCACTCCAACATTTTGCCACTAGAGAGCATCAAGAACTAAAAAAATACCTTCTGTTATATACTGTATACAATGTACAGTAAATTAATAAATTATATATTATTCTTTGAAAGCTTTGAAGCTTGGAGAAGCTCAACGTAGAGAAGGCTCCACGGCCGAAACCTTGTGTTTTCTTTTTTCTCTTTTCAGCATGGAATAAACCTATTACTTGTTCCTACGTATGCTGTCGCAGCTACCCACCTGAAATACTGTAGGAATGTTGGGTGACCACAAAGAGATGTAAATATATTCCTACCGATTGTATGCAGATGACCAGGTAACACATTGCCACTGTCCCTCCACCCTTTTGGACATTCACACATTTAATTAACGCACACATCTAATTAACATCCATTAATAAACCCCCCAGGGCCCAATAGTATCTTACCACTACAAAAGATAAATTCTCAAAGAAATGAGTGACTTTATTCAGAAGCTGTTCATTGAAACAGGTCTTCCAACAGTCCCTTAAGACTCAAAGTGTGAAACCAACTTTTGTCATATATGGAAGGACAGGACAATCACTGACAAACATAATATAACAGGACGAACATTCAAAGCGTGAAATAAACATCTTTCTGAGCCTGTACCATGTACTGTATAAGAGCTGGGAAACTGTTGCAGTTTGTCTGTTCTGCAGGGCAGACCCAACACGCATTGCTTTACTTATTGAACTCAATAAAAACTGAATCTGCACAAGACTGTATCCTGCTCCTCTGATGAAGAATTTCCGACAACAATAAAGTTCCCAGTAAAAGATTAATTCTCAAATTGCAGGCAATAGTATGGAAACATTAGTGTTTGGATTCAGAATTGTTTATTCAACAGAAAATGCAGAGCATAAATACTCAAAAAGGGGTAATGGGGCTAATTAGTTGAGTAACATGGGATCTGTACAAGGACCAATACTCTTCTTAATTTATATCAATGATCTAGATTACAGAATGGTTAATAAATTAGTCAAATTTGCAGATGACACCAAATTTAGAGGATTGGCATATTCTGTGGAAGCTGCTAATTAAATTATATTAGATAAACACATTGCAAATGATTAATGTAGACAAGCACATATTATTGCATACAGGTGGTAAAAACAAATTATAAGTATAATGTGGGAAATACTGAGCTAGGAGAGGCCACCTATGAAAAAAACTTATGTTAACACATTATTTATCTAATCTAGACAATGTGGGGAAGCAATTAAAAAGACAAATAAGATGAGAGGATATATGATAAAAAGTGCAGAAGTTATAACAAGGGATGTTATGATTAAACTGTGTAACTCACTAGTAAGGCATCATCTGGAATATTCAAGGTCAAGGTCAAGTTTATTTGTCATTCCAGCCATATACAAGTATACAGAGGAGCAGGATATCATTCTCCAGGTCTACAGTGCAAATACAGACAAGACACTGACAAGACAATGCCATAGACAATGTAGAGATAGACTGGGTACAGGGTACATAAAGTGCAATGTGCATAGTATAATTCACTTTACAGGACCGTGCACAGAATTGTGCAAAGAATACATCAGACAGTATGCCTGACATTAAGCAAAAAATAACTACGTTTCCAAATTTGGAGTAGGTGCAGTAGGTACCAGGTTGTTGAGGAGCCTGACAGCCTGTGGAAAAAAGTTGTAATGGAGTCTAGTGGAGCTGGCCCGTATACTGCGATAACTTTTACCAGATGGTAGTAGGAGTGGGAGGGATTGTCCACAATACTGGAGACTTTGTGTGTGCAGTGTTCGTGGTAGATGTCCTGAATGGACGGAAGGGAGGCTCCAACGATGTTTCCTGCCGTACTGATAATTCTTTGCAGGGACCTGTGGTCTGAGACCTTGCAATTCCCAAACCAAACAGTTTGCACTTTGTTAAGATGCTCTTGATGGTACCTCTACAGAATGTGGATAGTATGGGGGGGGGAGGTTTGCCCTTCTCAGTCACCGCAGGAAGTGGAGACGTTGTTGTGCTTTTTTAGCTAGGGAGGTGGTGTTGATGGTCCAAGTGAGATAATCTGTAATATACACACCAAGAAACTTAGTACTTCTAGCTGTTTCCACTGGGGAGCCATTGATGTGCAGTGGGGAGTGATCAGTGTGGGCCTTCAAGAAGTCAATTATCATGTCTTTTGTCTTACAAATTGTATTGTGTACAATTCTTTTGACCATGTTATAGAAAAAATATTGCTGAGCAGGAACCGATCACACAAAGAGCAATTAGATCTAGTCCGTAGCTTGAAGATGGTCCTCCAAAGTCAGGCTGAACATTTTTAGTCATGAGAAGAGAAGACTATGAAGGGACCTGATGCAAGTATTCAAAATCCTCAAAGGCCTTAACAAAGTCAATCCAGTAGATTTCCTCGAAATGAACAGAAGAGACACAAAGCAGAAGACACCAGTGGAAACGGAGTGGAAGTGTATTTAAAACTGAGAGCAGGAGATATATCTTTACCCAAAGAGCTGTGGGAGTCTGGAACAAGCTACCAGCTGTGTTGTTGAGACTGTGTGTGGTCAATTACAACTGTAGTAACTGACAGGTGTCTAGTGTGTTTCTGTGATGACTGTGTCCTGCCATACTGTATTTGCAGGTGTTTCAATTTCCTTGTTTTTAAAGGAAATTTCATGACTTTTACATGAATACTATAGCGCTTACACGGCTGGGTTCGCCGAAGAAGAAATGGCACTGTCTCTCAGAACAAAACAGTGTGACTCAGAATGATCACAAGACAGTGGACCGTCTCGTTATAGGAACACGTGCAACGGAGCACCATTTCTCACACTCACTGTCAAATCGTACAGTAACTCCCTAAGGTCACATGGTGCCTAAATGTTATTAACATAATCATTCATATAATTACAATCACAGTTTTTTATTTATTTATAGCGTTATATATTGATCCCAAATACTGTATAAATCCAGACACTTATCGTACTTAGAGTGCTTTCTTTTACGCAAAATGAAACGTGATTTTTAAGTAGTTTCACCTGAACACGTTTTATTACCACGTAAATACATGGCAAGAGTGAGTGAGACTAAAAAAAACACTATTCACGCTTCCCCACATCCTTTTTCCAAAACTGGGGGGTCGAATCTATCTATATACAGTAAGTGAAAACAAAAACGCGCCACAGAATAATAACAAAACTGAAAGTGAAACAAATTTTAACGTCAAATTGAACATTCTCAGATGTAACCAAGGATGTTAAAATACAGGCTATCGGAACTCAGGAGTCCAGGTAAGAATTTCACAACAGAAATACGGACGAATTAAATTAGTTTAGCTTAATTTTATTAAATGCATTTTATTTTTAAAATACTGTCAATTGCTAGAACTCCTAATACGAATTTTTAAACATTATACCGGAAATGAATAAATTTAAGACATGAATATGAATACAAAACATTGCTTGGAAATATCACTTTCTCCGTTGTTCTGACTTCTACATTCCAGGCTTTCGTGTTTCATTTTATTTTTTTATAATAACATCTGAGCAGGATTGTCGGTTTAGAGGTTTGAAGAACGTTACCTCTGGTATTACATTTAAAAGATGTTAATTTTCTGCTAAGTACTACAAGCATGGATTGTTCATTTGGATACAACATTTATAATAGATTGTGAAGCACCTCAAAACGAACAGACACGATCTGAATAAAACAAAAACTACTGTATCTGCAAAACTAGCCGATAATGCAATTGTACTAGGACTGTTCTCTGCACAGGCTGTCGGATCCCCCAGCCACCACGGCTCACAGACGTGCACAAACAGGTAGATTACATATTACGGTTTTATTTTAGATATTACCGTTAAATACAATAAGTATCCATGGCTCTCAATTTAAAAAAAAAACGGAACAAAAAAATGGAAGTATCTATGAGAGACGCATGAAAAACAACAAAATTTCAATCCTCCGACAGTCCAGGCATGCTTCCTTAGGCCAATACCGAATAAAAAAAAAGTACTTCGTTGTTTTACTAGAATGTACTAGACCGTCATGACGGTTCCAGAACAATATTTTTATTATCGACCTCCAGAGAAATGGAGGCAGATTCCAAACCCTCTACCTCGAGTGGATTTTCCCTTCCTGGACAGAACTGTTACAGTATGTCACACATAGCGTCCGTTTGGGGTTTACTAGGACTGTCCAGAAGTGTCCGGTTGATCACAGGGGAAGCAAATATTACAAGGCTGGGGATATTGTGGACCATGTCTACATGCGGATTGACAGTCCTTTCTGTCCCTCTGTTTGAAGTCCAGTTTGCATGGTTTAGCACCTCCACACACCTCCCATTTCTGTGTGGTGATTGACAGGGATCTCGTCAAACAGTGTGTCAAACACTCAGTTTAGTGAAGATTGCTTCACATTGTAGTTTGCAGTAGGGCATCAAGAAACATTTAGAAAGGAGAGGAAAGTGAACACAAAAGAGAAAATAACACCATACCCAACAACCGTTATTTGATAACGGAAACAAACATTGTTCCAAAGCTGCTGATCTAATCCTACTTCTGTACCTATCTGACACTATCATTAATGTATACTTATTAATTAAAATATTATGTTCCTCTTAATTAAAATTACTGTGATCACTCAGTGTACAGGATAACATAAAGGATTATTAAAAATGATTCAGACTTTTATCTTGTTTTCTTTTACTTAGCTAAGGGGAATTCCATATTCAACAAGGAAGGCCTGAGTCAAAGAATTCCCCAGGTCTGACACTTCTACAAGAAATCTTGCCTCTGCTTTGAGGACAACATGCTGCAAGTCCACGCAACCTTTGGACTACCTCCCCTTGACTAAGATGGCTGAACTTCTGACCAGCAAATGTGAAGTCCCCCCAAAGAAGAGGAAATATGACTTTCAAGGGGTCTCAGACTCATCTGGGCAGTTCATTGGGAGTTTTCTCACTTCCACTCAGCTGTCTCTCCAGATACCTCAGAACATCAACACTGACCTGCCTGTCTGGGCCTCAGTTCGCACTTGCCAGGTGGAAATACAGTGGAACATCACACCATACAAAATTGACATTTGCATTGTTCCTTTGAACTCCAGCACAGTGGCTCTCCTCCAATCTCAGGGACAAATCAAAGACGAGCAAGAATGCAACCATTCACACACAGGAGACGATCTTGACACAGATCTAGCTTCAGGCCTTTACCAGCCTGTTCACAATGCTGAGTGGATTCAACAGGCTTCCTTTCACACCAAGCCTTATGACAACATCAAGATATGTGACAAGTTTCTTCTTGGAACCTGTAGGCTTGGCTTTCACTGCAACCAGCACCACACACCCTATCCCTACCACTGGCAGCTGCGTCGAGAAGACACATATCAGTGGGTGAGCGTGTCCCATTCTGCACAGATCAAGCTTGAGAAGCTCTACTGCATCAAGGACAAAGATCAGGCAACACTGGTACAAATGTAGGTTCAGTGAGGTTTCTCAAGGTTTTTATTAAGGCTTAAAAAAGTTTTTTTATGGCCTTATGGCTGCAGTTCACATCTAGATTTTGCTTTTTTCTCTACTGTGCTAGGGAGATCATGTTTTGTGCATTTTCTATAGTAATCAGTACTCGTACATTTTACATGTTTTAGGTCAAAATTTGGAAAATATTTGTATAAATTCTGTTATGCAACAGAACCACCTGTTGTTCAACTGGGTGGCACTTATACAGGTATCAATGTTTCAACAACTCTAGTCACACATTAGACATTTGGTGAGAATACAACGATTAAGAATAAATTGTATTTTCCACTATTTTCACTTGTCAAAAGTGCTATTTCTGAGAGTTGGCAGGATGGAGGAGGCTTGGGAATCCACAGATTTCCACCTGCCTACCAGTTTTTTGACTGGACTGGACACCGATGGTAACAGAAGTGCGTCTGTCTTCACAACCTTGTGCTAAAGCTCAAACATGAAAAAGATCAGAGTTTAGCATAGTATGAGTGTGTAACTCAGCTTTATTTTTTTTAATTTGTGAATTAAATTTATCAGTGGTTAACGCTTAAGACAATAGACTAATTATGTGCTACAGTACCTTATAAATTGTTCATTATAAAACCTGGGAAAGCTTCATGTACTGAAGAAATATATAAGATTTAATACTAATAAGAAATTTATAATCTATGGACTTTGTGTTGCAAAGAAAATGTTAAACATAGTATCTGTTGCTTCATTTCTTGACTGTTTGCTCTGATTCTTCAGGAGCGACACATTCACCCTGGATTTTGAGAAGATGATGATAGAAAATTCAGAAGTTTATGGTAAAGTGAGAAGACTCTCGAACACAACCAATCCAGAATGGAACACCCATTTCCCCACAAACTGGCAGATTTACTGGTGGAATGATTTTAAGTGGGAAAAGTACACAAAGGTTAGTGTATAACTTTTATTTTGTTAACACGTAATCGGTAACATCTGTAAGTGTAAATGCATTATACTATAGGAGAAATGAAATCACAAACCTTCATAGCCTTACTGAAAACAGTACTGCCTAAAAAATTTAAAAGAACAGGAATTGAAGAAATATTTTCAATTTCAAACATAAATAAATGTCTGCCACCCGCATTCTGTCAGGAGAAAAATAAATACTGTAACACTTCAGGGCTCAGGTGGGCACCCTTGCCACTGCCACATCAGGTCAGCCCCCCACCGTCAGGAACTCAAACCCAGGCTTCCAGCATCACTCAACAGGGACCCAGCCTGTTGAGCTAACTATAAATCTCCCTTTAGTGCAATAGGCTGGGTCCTTGTTGAGTGATGCCGGAGGCCTGGGTTCAAGTCCCTGACGGTGGGGGGCCGACCTGATGTGGCAGCAGGCGAGGGTGCCCACGTGAACCCTGTAGCGTTACATTGGTGTCAGAAGCGGGGTGGGGTAGTCCTTCGCTGAGGATGGTGAGTTAAGCGGGGGAGAGTGTAACAATTACGGCCACCAGTGAGTATGTAAGAGCTGGCTTACCAGAGCGAGATGTCACCGCCCATTCCTGTGATAGCAGGGCCTGCAGCCGCTGTGCTGGGGGCAGATCTCTCTTTAGCTCAACAGGCTGGGTCCCTGTGGAGTGACGCCGGAGGGCCGCGTTCGAGTCCCCAACAGTGGGGGGCTGACCTGATGCGGCAGCAGGCGAGGGCGCCCACGTGAACCCCGTAGCGTTACAATACTATAATATTACTTTAACAAATTACAAGGACAACTTGTACAAGTACTAACAAGTGCTCTGGATTCCTGAAGTTGAAGGTTTCCGTTACAAATGTTGTTGACCTATCATACATCTTTTGCTGTCTTCCTCAGTGGTTATTCTGTCAAAACCTAGACCTGTGGGAACAGTGGAAGTCTTATGTAAAATTGCTGCTATAGATGCAAACATCACTATAATTATCACTGACTTATCATTATAGTTGTTGACAGTATAAGCAGTTGTGTAATTCTTAGCATTGTCTTGAACATTTCCCCAAAGTCTCCCAGTCTGAACATGCAACTCTGTTCAATACTGAAGCTAAACTGTCACACTGTCAATTCCAACAGTTTTAAAACTTCTAATTTTCAAACAGAATGAACAGCATTAGCAATGCTACTGTATGTGGGAACAGCTTATAGAACAGGCTTATAACTGTTACTTATTCCCAAGATGTTACCTGTTACAGAAGTAAAAACTGTTTGTTCTTTAGTTTCCTGGTTCAACCCATCAATACCCCTTAGTGTTGTATGTTCTGTACTTGAATCGAATCCCCTTTTGATCTCCTTTGTTTTCGAGTTTTATGGTATAGTGATCAAAATTCTATGTGAGATATTACTTGGGCATTGTAAAATTTAAAGTTTTTTGTGGCCAGCTGCCATATCACCCTGCAACTCACAACTGGCAACCCACTGAAGCTAAGCAGGTACTGTATGAGCCTGGATGGGAGACCTCCTGGGAAAAACTAAGGTTGCTGCTGGAAGAGGTGTTAGTGAGGCCAGCAGGGGGTGCTCACCCTGAGGTCTATGTGGGTCCTAATGCCCCAGTATAGTGATGGAGACACTATACTGTAAAAAGGCGCTGACCTTTGTATGAGATGTAAAACTGAGGTCCTGACTCTCTGTGGCCATTAAAAATCCCGGGATGTTTCTTGAAAAGAGTAGGGGTGTTACCCCAGTGTCCTGACCAAATTTCTATTGGCCTTTACCAATCATGGCCTCCTCATAATCCTTATCTATGAACTAGCTTCATCACTCTGCTCTCCTCCCCACTGATAGCTGATGTGTGGTGAGTGTACTGGAGCACTATGGCTGTCGTTGCATCATTCAGGTTGATGCCGCACATTGGTGGTGGTGGAGGGGAGCCCCTATTACCTGTTGTTACGTCCCAGCGTGTGGTCCATGTGTGTTTTGTTGCTGTTCCGCACTACCTGACCTTGATTGTTCTCCCTCCCCCATTGGTCAATTATTGCATCATTGTTTCTGTTTGACATTGTCTTCAGTTAACTCTCAGACAGTCAGAGTGCAGATTATTCGGTTGGAGGTTTTCAGAAGGAAGGGGCCTTTCATTTGACTTCAGTCCCACTCGGCTCAGTTTAGGCTTCGTTTCGCATTTGGTTTTTGCTTTGGTTTCGTTTCCCTTCGTGTGTATGTCTTTTCGTATAGCTTCGGCTTTTTGTTTTGTTGGTTTGTGTTAGTCTCTTTGTGCTTTCGTTTGTTTGTGTTTATTTTTGTTTCGCCATTGCCTTGCCCAAACTTGTTGTATGTTATGTGTTCAACCTCTGTGTTCTTTTGTACCCTGTTACTTATGTCTACTCTCGTTTTCCCTTATTTATATTCATAGTTTGCTGGTGTATTTGTGTGAACTTTTGTGTTATGGGTTAGTTTAGGTTGTTGGGTACATTCTACACACTTAGTTGATTTTTGTATCAGTAACATTAGTTAGTACGGATGAGTGCCATTTGTCTTGTATGGTTTTGGGTAGTCAGTGAAGGTTAGCTAGGGTGTTTGAAGACGCTGAAGACCGTGTGTTTCGAGTTTTGTTTCGTAGTTAGGTCAGCTTTCTCTCACTTTCTTAGCCAGCTCCATTTTTTTTGTTATTTTCTTTCCTTTGGCATCGCTCTAGTTCCCTGCCCCTGTTTCTTATTGTTTCTTATTTCGTACCAGTCACTTATTCATGTTAAAATAATCACTTTTGCACCAACCCTTGTTGTAACGCTTCCTAAGTCCCTCACCAGAACCCACCTGCATCCAAAACCCATTCTAAATGTTACAGCCCTTTTCCCCTAAACACTTGTGGTCATAACACCTGTAAAGCGCTTTGAGTGGAGTATCCAAAAAAACACTATATAAGTGTAAACTATTATTATTATTATTATTATTATTATTATTATTATTATTATTATTATTATTATTATTATTAAAGCGTAACGTACCTCTAATTAAATTTCACATTTTCCCCAAGCATTCTGTTTTGTTTTCTATTACTTTCCCCATCATTGGGTTGAGGACTTTCCATTACTCAGAGAGAGTAACAGGTTCAAAATGGATCGCTGTGGTAAACCACTGTTCAGATCTGCCTAATTAGATGATGTGCTGTTTTCTGTTTGGCTTTTAATTAATCAACCTTTTGAGACCTACTGTCTCTGAAGCTTATTGGAAGTCTAGATATATTATATTGAATGGTTTTATCTACACTCTCTTTTGTTTGTTTGAAGAATTCTAACAAGTAAGTTAAACAAGCCTTAATTTTTTTAATCCATCTTGATTGTCTCTTTAAATGCTGTTCTGTGCATTATTTGATTTTAAATAACAGTGATTTCCCAAAACCACACTCTTTAACATGTTACTTCTCCCCCTATTCCTGGTCCTGAACAACAACAAAAATGGTAAGAATATGCATATATGACAACAAGAAGCTCTATTTTGTTGTTAAGAGCAATTTCTGTTTTTTGCAGTGTGTTTTAAAGATTTTGCTGGCCAAAATGGAGGCTGGAGAAAACAAATGCACAGTCACAATCAGGAAACAGAAGTATGAGGTGGACTTCAATAGCTTAATGCAGACAAACCTCAAAACGGGATTTGTGCGGAAAATACGACGACGACCCACCTTCCGTTCTCCTCATTCCCTGAAGCCTCACTTGAAGTAAGGTTTCAGTTCTCTGTGCTTTTTGTCTTACCAGTTATTTTTTTCATTATTTTTTTCAGATGATCTGCATATACTATACTTTCAGCTCACTCATGTTGTGTGCATATTTAAAAACAGCTAAAGATATTTTTACAAAGATGTTACTTAAGCTCTAGAGTTAGTTCTAATGTATTGCAAAATACAAAAGGTAAGCACGTAATTGACCAAGAGCATTACATTTTTTAAGAAAAATATTTTTCTTAATTTTTAACAGCTTTTTGGGAACTTGTACTGCACCGATTGTGGTATATGATTAATGTAATTCATGAGATTGTGACATATCAAGAAAGTCCTCAGTCTTGAAATTCACCTTCTGGGATAAACAAATTATATCTGATTTCTGCATGTGACCATATCATGTCTAGTGCCAAAATTAGGGTGGTTTATATCATGCACCACTCTGAAGAGCTTTAAAATGTTTTTAGTTCCAAATTAATATTTGATGGTCTTCTTTCATTCTCTCTAGGACTGTTATCTTAAATGAATTGCAAATTCAAAGTGATATGGTTCCCCAGAAGTACGACTTTGATCCACTGTCAGAATTTAGAAGTTGGTATCCCCCTGTGTGGACAATGCCACTGGCCCAGGACGAGTTCAAGAAAGTGGATGTGCCCCCCTGGGAACAAGCATTTTATACCATTTATGAGCTTTTCTACACCACTATGTCTGAGATGGAGGTGGAGATTGTGAGCATCCAGCAAATCCAGAATATCTTCCAGTGGGACAAATACAGAAGGTAAGAACAGAAGACCCCTAATGTCCAAAATTAGGGCAATGAAGGTATGAAAATTGCTGTAAGAGTTGCTCATTCAATCTTGTGTGCTACAGTACAAATGAAAAACCAGGGATTTCAAAGAAAACATTCAGTCCCTGGTTAAATATTTAGGAAAATGCAGTAAAAATGCTGTGAACGTTCTATGGAAAGCATCATGTTACAGTATTAAAATTAAATTGCTGTTGCAAGGCATCAACACACCATATTGCTAAAGAACAGAATATTAAGAGACAGAACTTTTTCCCCATAGGATGTACATTTGGTCTAGTTTACATCTAGTTAAAACCTAGAAACCTATCCTAGAAAAAACTTACATACACTCATATTAACATTTTGAAGGCATTTAGACAATTTAGACAAGACTGCAGTAGTAAATATAAAAATTAAATAAAAAAATGGGTATTCTATTTGCAAACCATTGCCCTTTAGAGTTTGATTGTCTCTCCTGTTTGTTATTGCTGTGCAAGCAATGTAAAGATAAGGGCAATAACCTTCTTTTTTTTTTTGAAAAAACAGAACCAAAGAGGAAACTCATTTCAGTCTGGTGATTTTATTAATGCTGACCCTTTTGACCATTTGCATATACAGTACAGGCGGAAAAGGAGTGTATCAGGTTCTCAAAGTTTAGTGTGCTCACTTTAAAATGCAAACTACAAGCTGTGCATTATGAAGCCTATTTGGAGACTTGTAGTGTCTATATTTTTTCGGCAGTCAATTTGTCTGTATTTATTGGGTGGTTTGGGTCCACAGCCATATAATGGTTAGATAGCCAATTTCCTTATGTATAACTATACCTTCACACACCTTGCTGATCACACTTTTCTGCCATCTTTCCCCCACAGTGCAAGGAATTCAACACGTTGCAAACATGTATGTATGAATGTATGAAAAGATGCTAACAAGACATGCTACTCTTTTTTAGGTCATGGCAGCTAATCTACCCTTAAAAGTTAATTTAAGTACCGTATTTACTATTATTCTGTATTTACATATTCTCTGCCATTGACAAATTGCATTTATTATGAGAACTAAGTAATGGACCACATGTAGTATTCTTATGTAAATTAACTAAATCAAATAACAGCTCATAAACTAAACTGCGTAATTTCGCGTTTATAATACCTGTACAGAAAATAATTTGTGGTTTTTATTGGGATGTTGGTCGTGCCATCAATCTATCAAACTGGCTTCCAAACATCATCATAGCAGAAGAAGCTACAGTATGTCCACAAAAAAGCAACATTGAAGCATTAACGGATCCAACCAAAAGAGAACACTTCCAAGAATACACTAGATAAAAGCTCTTTTGGGAGATCTCAAGACAAATATCACCTATGCCCGTGAACAACAGGACTGTTTTTACAAAATGACTAGATATCAAATGACTGTATTGATCACAATCACAAGGGTTTCTGTGCATGACAGATTGACCAAATTCCCAGCTAAAGAAGCTGACCTACTGACAAGTCAGAAGTTCAAAGGTGAACTGTTATGACATGGCATTTCACTTGAATTGAAGAACGGGTGTAAGACAAACAAGGCAATTTAACATCTTGCAGACATGAATAATATCAATCGTTTCTTCACTGCCACTGTTTATGACTTAAAGATCCATGTACATGACCTTTTAAGACTTAAGGAAAGGGGAGAGCTGATCTAGGAAATGGCGGCAGTCAATGCCTATTTGAAGGAGATGGTTCCAGTCAGTTAAGAGCAAAATATTCAATTCCACCCCACAACACGCAATCAGAGACAACCTTATTCTATGGATATGTAATGGAAAACAACAAAATAGCAAAAGCTAATAGAATTACTGCTAAACTTTGTAAGCACAATGGAGAGGAAATAATTTTTACACTCTCTGAACACATCAGATCTGGACTAAAGAGATAACCCATTGCAGGGCCCATTGCAGTCCAGACCATAACAAGAACCTCGGAAACTGTTTCATTCCTTTTGCTGGAGAGCTTCTTACAGAATCCAAGTGTGGGGTTCAGACCTCAAGTGGCACAGCTGAATTAGCACTTCAAATTACAGAAAAAAAAAACATTGCGAGCAATGCTCTGCCTTTTTTGACTTGTCAAAATACTCTGAGAATTGCACGGAATGCTGTAAAATCCTCCTGAAGTAAAGCTATTCTCCACAATTCTACAACTTAAGCAATTCTTGCCTGCTTCATCATATTATACATAGATATGAAAAACATGGTGAACATGAAAAATGGGTCCATTACATAGTGCTTTGTGTTCTGGACAGGAGTCAAACAATTTTGTGTCATCACCTCAATTCTATTTTAGTTATTTCTTAGCACCACGGTGTACTTCATTGAACTCAAACCAAGTTGGAGTGCAGCTGCGTAGTGAATTGAGTAATTGAGTAGTGAATTTAATTAATCCTCAACTACTCCAGTTCAGAATTAGAATTACCAAGACTTCCGTCATCGAACTCCAGTATGCTAATACTGTACAGTAGTAAAACTTGGCAGCAATGGATTTCCATACAACTGGCAATAAAAGTGTACATTCAGATAACTAAAAAAACTCATGAGTAACACTGGAAAGTGTTTATAATTCTATTGCAGGATTTCATTTACTGGCTTTACCAATAAATATCTGAAAAAAATACTTCTTTCCAATGTTCCAAGGCAGGATCTTCCCAGAATTGATTACTCAATTGCACAAACGTCACCTTAGACAACTTGCCTGATAGAAATAGTTAACTCCTTATTTACAATGTTTATATTTGTTTACCTTACTGTTGTTTTATTTTGTTATTTGACTCCTGGTCATGTTTACATATTGTTTGTGATAACAATAATTACACATTTATGAAAGATAATTGTAAGATAAAATGCTAAAATATATAACATGATGTTTTGAAGATTTCCAACCATTATGATTCATGTCTAAGAAGACTTCCGTAAGAAACTTGTGTCCAATTCTGGGAAGAAGTATTTGAACTTCAAACCTAATTGTTTTATTTACCAAAAGTGAATGCTCTGTATGTAAAAAAATTAGCAATGAAGTCCTTAAGTGAAGTCTTTATTAAATATATACTGGAACTTCCAGTATATCACTGGAGAAAAAAACAGGTGAGATCAAATTTAAGATTATTGGCTATACTGTAACAGAAGAAAATATATTTCACAAAAAAGAGAAATAATAAAAAAACATTTGTGTAGACCCAATGTTTAAAGCCAGTGAAGTTCCTATAAAAACGTAGAGGTTGAGATGTGCTAATGGTGTTCAACTTTATTTAAATAGTAAAATGTACAGTACCCTCAACAGGAAAAACCAGGTAGATTCTAGATCTGATTCTAAACCGCAAAGAAATCTTGGCTAATGAAGAACAAACTGGAGATTCAACATTAGTTCAATACCTTCCACACAGTCCATATTTCAATATAGTCAGAAAGCCTGGAATTACATGGAATCACTGAGGAAAGCATAGAAAACCAAGGAGTAACTTTACAATGTTCTTCAGGATAAGATATATAAAAAATACAAGCACCTTTAAGGGCAGAGTATTTAATTATTTCAAAACAAAAGGTGGTGTTCAAACATATTTATGAAGTTTCATACTGTAATGTACTAGTTTGTGTATTTCATACATACATTTATCGTTGCTATGACTGGATAACAGTATTTATAAAAGTGATTGAGCCACAGATAAGGGTTCCTGTTCTATCTGTCCTATCTATTCCAAAACTAACTTCTATAAAAGAGAAAAAGCACTCGTCAAATATAAGCAACACAGATGGAAATGTCTAATACATGATGAAATCACTTCCTGATGTCAATGATGAAGGCTGCATATTTGAATTTTATCCACATGTCTGTACATGAAATAAGGAAACAATAGGAGTGTACTCAGATGGTCTATATACTGTACAACTGCAGAAGCAATAGTCTCTGAGTCTCCCCTTTATATTTAACTAAAGCCTCAACTAAAGTTTTTCAACCAAATAAAATGTTTCCACTATGTTACATTTTGGAAACCTCTGAATTTCACACTTTAAAGATTAAATATCAGAATACAACAGAGGTTATTTATGGAGATCTAGAGTACAACAGAGTTATAGTTTTTAGAATTTTTTTTTAAAATAAATGCCTTACTGATAATATGGAGCTTCACTATCCTGCATACTGCCCTTCTATTAGTTTATTATGTAGAACTTGTCAAGAGACTACACATGGGCATATGGAGTTTACAAGACAATAGCAGACAAATTCATGAGATTTGTCTCAAAGCATGAAATTCAAGTATCCATACCATCACTAATATAACCAGTGTTACAACAGATTAATCGATAGTCTATTAATTCCCATCTTATCTTTTGGACATTTTGTGCTTGGAAATAGGTGATGAAACATAGAGAATTATAAAAATTAGAGAAACATAACTATTTCTTTTACATTTTAGACAAAAGGAGTTTATGTCTGCAAAGCACTCCCATGGTATAACAATTGAGCGCCATTTATTCCATGGGACCACAGAAGAATCAGTGGACATCATTTGCAAGATGAACTTTGACCCCCGTGTGGCAGGGAAGAATGGCATTGCTTATGGCAGAGGGAGCTACTTTGCAAAGGATGCCAGCTACTCTGACAAGTATGCACCAGCCACTTCAGAGGGATTCCAATACATGTTCCTGGCCAAAGTCCTTGTGGGGAAAACCATCATTGGAAACCAAAGCTACTACCGGCCTCCACCTCTTTGTCCCTCAGCAGCAGGAAGTGACATATACGACACCTGTGTGAATCGTGAGAAAGACCCTTCAATTTTTGTTGCCTTTGATAGCTGTCAGTGTTACCCTTATTACCTTATCAAGTACCGAATTCTCTCGGATGTTGTGAACGCATTTGAATAACGGAATACTGTAAAGAGACCTGTGGAGGGTTTGTGGAAATTTGCCGATTTGTTTTTTTTTTTCATTCAGCTCTTGGGTACTAAATGTGTTTACTTATTGTGCCTGTCACATAAAATATCTTAAAGCACTTTATAAAGAAACTTGGGTTTCCAATAATACAAATTAAATACATTAATCATTAAATAACCAAAAACATTAAATCCAATTGAATCTACATATTTGTAAAGTAGCATGAAATAAAAATAAAGCCAAGTGAAATTACAGTAAAAGCATAGTAAAGCACAGAGATGGAGACATATGGTAAAGCTTGAATGAAAAAAGTGGTGTCTAAGGACACTGTATTACACATCAGTTAGGTATGTAGCAGTAAGACATTGTATGGTGCCAAGTATTCTAACTTGGGTTTCTCCTTTCAGAATTATTTTAAAGTGAAGTACTTCTCAACCTTATTTCTTCACAGAAAATAAGGTATAATTAACTGAATAATAAATTGAAAGGTCATATGTTGTCAATGAAATAATGAAGATTGCAGTGGCATCATTGCTGCCTATTGATGGACAACTATTGGGTGGAGCGGTGGCTCTGTGGCTAAAGATCTGCGCCTATTTGCCGGTTCAAATCCTGCAGCTGGCAGAGGAATCCTACTCTGTTGGGCCCCTGAGCAAGGCCCTTAACCCCAACTGCTCCAGGGGCGCTGTACAATGGCTGACCCTGCGCTCTGACCCCAAGCTTCTCTCTGTCGCTCTGTCTGTGTCTCACGGAGAACAAGTTGGGGTATGTGAAAAAGACAAATTGCAAGAAATTGTATATGGCTAATAAAGTGATAAAGATTAATTATAAGACTGAATATGTTACTTAATATTCCACACAATTGTTTGCAACAGAAGACATCGATATCATAACCCATGTTTAAAATCACGCTCCATCAGTATTGGGTAATCTTGACATACAGTAGCTGACACCCAGGACGATGAAAAACACCAAAATCAATGGGGACTGAGTGCATGTTCCAAGGCATACCTAATGAAATGAAGATTATTATTCATAGAACCCTAAGGAGGATATTTCAGTTCTCACTTTGATTGGGAGCAGTGCTCACAGATTGGAGAACTGTAGATGTAACACCAATTTATAAGGAGGCAGACAGAATTCAACCAAGACACTATAGAAAACCTTACTTCTGTTACAGATCAACTTTTGAAAACGATAATTACAGATAAATTAAATGAATTCTTAGAAAACAATGGTATTTTAAGAAACAGCTAACTTCAGTCTAGAAAGGGAAGGACTTGTTTTTAATAACTTGCTAGAATTCTTGAACAATCAACAAGAAGAGTAAATACCACTGAAGCATGCGACATTGTATGTTTAACTCTATTACATTTTTTTTATACTACATACACCACCCTATGCAAGATTATGTAAAACACCACCAAAAATCTAATTCATTACCTACCTACCAACAAGTGATCCTATTTACAGGTGCTAAAAGCCCTGCCCCTTGATGGCTTCCAGTGGCTGGTCAGCTGATATTAAAGACTCCACAGCCCAGTCTGCTACAAAGCCAAATTGACTTAAGACATCTGCAACAGTGTATTTTCAATTATTCTTCAATTTTCTTAGTATTGTAAAATGCAAACTGAGATAATGCATTACACAGAAGACTTGTGGTCACAAAATATTGGAATTATCCATCCATCTGCTTTATCCAATATCGGGTCATGGGAGGAGCGCCAAAGCCTATCCTGGCAAGCCGCAGGCATAAGGAATGATACACCCTGGATGGGATACCATTATATCACAGGTTACACACAGAAAAGACAAGCACAAACTCACGCCAGGGCCAATTTTCCCAGAATTAACCTAGCCATATGTCTTTGGACTGTGGGCAGATGCCCACATGAACACAGGGAGAACATAAACTCCATGCAGAAAACACACCTGGAATTGAACCCAGGGTCCAACAAGTGCAAGGCAGTAATGCTTACCACTGCACCATTATACTGCTCATATTTTAAATATAGTTAAAATGAAAATAAATGTGTTTAATGCATGACTTTCCAGTCTTTTGAATTGTCTTCATTAAAGTCAGTAAAAAATTGATATTAAGTCAGCATTCAGTTAACTAAACACAGTCTGTAATACATAAATGCAAGTCTACAACCTGCTGATAGACAACGATGAATAAGTGCTGTGTTTGAAGTTTGCTGTTTGTAGATGGTTAAAGATTTGATTTAATCTCGTCTCTAGAACGAAAAGGAACCTTAAAGATACAATTGTTCTCAGAGTCTAATTTAGCCCTTCTCAGAACTTATTTAATGAAATTACTTCTCATCATTTACAAAAAGAATGACACATTCCAACTAAATTCACCATAATAGTAGTATGCAAGACAGATATAAAAAGCTTGATACACAATCGTTTTGGCTGTCATTTTGAGCTCCATATTTGGGGGATTTTAATTGTTATGGATAATATTTAATTATTTTAAGTATTCGATAATTAAATGTTTTCAGTAAATGGAAAGTTCTATCATGCCATGTGAGATAAAGCTTATCTTTAGGTTGATTGAAGAGATTGGAGAAACCAAACGAAATGATATCCTGTTGAACGCTATTCTAGATGGCACTTACGGATGACTGAAAATAAGTGTGTATTACAGTTAATATTTTTTCTACATCATTATTAAGCAATGTGTTTAGATAAATTCATTTTTTCTGTTTTTTTTTCACTAATGCAGTAAAATAATATAAAATAAGAATGTTTGCATATGGAATACTAAGGATATTACTACAAGGTTCATTGGGTACAATGTTAATCAAGCCGCAGATTGACCAAAGATTAAATTGCAGTGACACCATGTCCCCTTAATGTCAAAATAAGGTAAAAATGTGTTGTTCTGAAACAGCAATTAGTCTGACCACCTACATCAAGCAATTAGTCTAACTACCTTCATAGCTATGAAAGGTTTGTAGCACCTAAAAGTCTCTTTCCATCTCACAAGTATATAAGGCTTTGAAAGGTTTAATGCTATTGGTAATAGGTGGGCATGTTTAATATATTCACCTTACAACAGAGCCATGCACTACACGCCAATCACTCCAGGTTTTAAGAGCCCACATCTTAAGTTAAGTTTTCTAAAAAAAACATTTAGACTAGATGTCTGCATCACTGGTACTGAAGATACAGTACATATTATAAACTTAGTTTTGTCCTTAGTGAGCTGTGAATATGTTGGACAAATTAATTAATTAGTAGCAGTTACTGTTTTCTGTGACTCAATTTTTTAACATTCTGAAGTTCCTTATAAAATCTTCAGGACTCCGTCCGGTAGGCCGGTACTCCAAGACCAAGACTACAGATCTCTGGTTAACTAAAAAGAAAAATATTGCAGTAAAGAAAGATGTACTGTAATACTGTTCAAAATTCTCTGCATCCTAAATTTTCTAGATTTATAATTTATAATTATAAACACTGTTTCTTAAAAAAATATCAAGTTATATACAGTATAATGGCTTGAAAAAGTATAAAATCTGAGCAAATCCTGCATAAAGTACAAAATTCACATTAGCATAGTTTTTTTTTTTACTTGTGCATCATCATAATTGTACTAGGGGGAAAACCAATACCCTCAACAGGAATGTTGCTGTGCTTGTAAAAACAATATTTTGAATTGTCTGGGCAAATAATTTAAAACCTTGTACAGGACAAGTGGCAGTGATATTTCTGTTAGGCTTTACAACAAAGATTGTGCATGATGAAATAGTAAAAAATGACATTCTGGCAACAAAGGAACTGACATTTTATACAATAGGATGCTTTATAATGGTCTCCCAAGAGGCTTTAATAGAAAGACCTATTTAGTGCTTGAGCTCTACAGTTTAAATATAGCTGACTCAAGTCTTTAATATAATAAAATTCAACAATGCTCAGATTTTTTTCATCATCAGACTTTCCCTTGATGCTATTTCAGCAGAGGATACGGTGTGGCTTGTCATGTGAAAGCTGATAATTTTTTTACCTGTGGAGCCTCGAAATGTTGTGTTTTCTTTTTTCTCTATTCAGCATGGAATAAACCTATTACTTGTTGCTTTGCAGCCTACACATGCTGAAGCTGCTACACACCTGAACTAATTTTTGTACCTGCCAGGTAAAAAAACCTGAATCTGTGTGATGGTACCTAGAATTGCACAGTTGATATCTGAAGGAATAACTGAAACCAAAAACATACTGACATATGAATGTTCACAGACAACATTGTAATTTAATGTATTTGCAGACAAATTAACAAAATAAAAATCAAACAGAATGCATCAAAATAAAATGAATGTGTATCAAAATACATTATTCCAAATACAAGTAATCATTAGGGGTATTTTATCTCAGATTTCTTTCAATACTGTAACAGCAATAACCAAAAACTTAATGTAAGTGAAGTTAATATTTCTCTGTTGTGTGTGCTCTTTCCAACTCATTGTGCAGTAGTTGCCAGGTATGCATCTTTCCCATTGAATACACAACATCACAGTGCTGGCTTAAGATGTACTCATATTCTGCCACTTTTTTATTTGATGCAGGCAGTTTTAAGATCATGGCAGAACACCCGTAATTAAACAAAACTGTGTGCCTTTAAATATATCAGTGTGCACATTACACAATATAATAAAAATGACAACATAATAAAAGACCTCAAGAATTAATGGACAACTTTGGGAAAAAAACAAGGGCAAATGAAGTGACTTGGATGGTTTTGGATTTTATATATCAGCCAAGTTACTGCATAGGATTTTAAATGCCAGCATATATCAGGGTGCCTTTATGATTCAGGAAAATGATTTTTTTTTTGTTTATTCTCATAAGAGAAAATCTTCTCCTGCTGCATCTTTCTCAAGCTGAAGATTTTGTTGTTGCCAGTTAAAGTTGTTTTGCAGCCTCTTCATTTGGAGTCACAAATTTATCAAATCAGGATGAAGACCACTACAATTTATCCTCTGGAGTGTCTACTATGAAGCCATTTGTCTCTTTTCATAGGGCATACCAAATAGTAAATACACCAGAGATGACATCCAAAGAACTGATGCAGCTCTTGCTAACACTACTCAAAGGAGTTTGTCAAGCTAAAGGTTACTGCCTTGTAACAAGCCACACTCCGGTCTCAGAGGCAATCCATCAATTGCACACTGCAGCTTGCATATCAGTTCCATTCGATTAACAACATGGAAGGAGGTTTCTGAACATATAGAATTGCTAAAGACATGTCAAGGGATAGATACTGTACATTACCTGCAGACAGTAGTAGTGTATCTTAAAAGGATGTACATGGATTACAATTTACCATATGAAATGCTTCTAACTTAAAATCAAAGCAGAGAAATACAGTCACTAAGAAACCTACAGGTGTGGTTAGTTTAACGTTAATGTACTAAAACATAGCACTTACGCTACATTGCTTAAGAGCAAATGTTGTGGGGGAAAACAATTCTGTACAAATAAGAATTACAGTGTACTATGAAAACACAATATTTATACAATATACTGTATGCTATATGCTACAGTAAAATTCAGACACATGGTACATTTTGATATTAGTTTTTATAACATAATGGACAATGGTCTTTGCTATCATTTTGTCCACAGATTGAAAATATACAATTCTGCCAAAGCAACACCCAGGAGACAAAGAACAATGATTTGGTGATACTGTAGGTCAGAAAAATGGCCATTCAGAGACTGGATCAAAGACTCTGTACTTCAAAGAACAAATGTAATTTCATGTGCTTAAAAGACAGTGAAAAGGGAAAAAATAAGGAAAAGAAAGACAAGCAAGTAGATTTCAATTATACAAAGAAATGGTGATGTAGCTAGAACTCATGGTCAAAATTTCTCATGCCCAAAAAAACTACTATCCAGAATTTACACAGTGATCCTGCACAAGCTGCTTAATAAAAGCATACAATATGTAATGGAACAGGTAATTGGTTTATTCCTATTTCAATTTATTCCATTCTAGTATACATTCCAATATGTAATGTATACTAAAATGGCTTAACTAAGTTAACAGGAAAGAATATTATCTAAAAACATAAATCAATGCTTTATATGACATTGTTAACAAGAAATGCTGTAAAATAAACAGCTGTTGAATAGCATGCTTATGCTTAGTCTATTTTTTGTACAATATTTCTTAGCAGGCACTATTTTCATGCCTACAATTCCAAAATAAGCAGAACAAGACAAAACAAGAGCTGGCTTTCAGGTGTCCAGAAGAGCTAGTTTACTGTATATTGATTTCTATCGAGTCATTTTGGTAAAAATAACTTGATTTTTCTTAGCAATTATGTGAGCTCACAGTGTAGCCAGTTCTAATCCTAACAGTGGATGAAGTGCACTTTTCAGTGTGAAACAAAACAAAAGATACTATATGTTGTAGTGTAAATTCCATCAATGCAGAACTTTAGCATTCTCCCCTAGGGATTGTTTTGTACACATTATTTAATTCAGAGAATGGACAAAATGTGAGCCACAGTTCAAAGCTGAATGCTGACATGGTAGAACCCAATATTTCATGCACAGTACTTCACACATGGTATCAAAATGGTGACTTTCAGCTCAAAGCTAGGACGGGTGATCGCTCAAGAAGGGTATTGACCTGGCAGAATATGATTCAGTATATAAACAAAAACATCTGAGAAACCCCAGATTACACTATCCAACTGAATCCCAGTGAAACCTGACCAGTTTATCTTTGGAATTCTCCTGATTTCATTTGGAGAGGTGCACCAAATTAGACTTAAGTCCATAATTTCAGTTTTGGAGTCAAGAACCATATATTTTACTATTAGACATGGACCTCTTCACTATGCATGACACTCCCAGGTGGCTGAAGGACTTACCTACAGTATATACTGTACCTTGATCATGTTTTTACTGCTTCACTGAGTAACCTAAAAAATTGTATATATCAACCTGAAAAGCAGCAACCAGTGTGAGAAAGGTCAGTACCACCTTCTACCTTGAAATATACAGTTAAACTAGAAGGTGGAAAACCACTGACTAAGCTGATCGAGTCTCTGAGTGTCACAGATAACCTGATTTTAGAACATATTCCATCTCACACTAATTTTAAACTTCAAAACTAATAAGCATTTAAACCTTTTTAGTTACCAGTGACTAGTAATAATAAAAGGGAAATTAATCAACACAAAGACACTGCCCTCCAGTGACATAGATTGTAAGCGAGTGTATGATGCAGCATCTTGAAACCCTCAAGAACACAGAACCAGTGGTCTTCCTCTTTAAGTCTATTATGTGACATTAAGCTACAAAGCATGCAAAATTTCTAGGGAGAGTTCCAATTGTAGTTTTTGGTGCTGTGATAACGGTACAGCTATCAATGTGGTGCCTCTCCTGTACAGGACAGGAATATGCCAATAAGCTGCTATAAAAATGTCATTCAAGATTTCTTCACACCTATTGTTAAGTGACATATTTCAGAATGAAAAATTTAAATGCAATGATTTACTGTATGTATTTAATGTATGATCTTTGCCATAAAGCAAAATCTTAGTCAGCTCTTTAAGTTTAGCTTGCCCTTCCAGGGAATAGATTTAAGGCAGAAGGAAGCAAACGGGCTTTTCAATAACTATATTAATATCTCAACAAACGTGTGTCAAAGTGTCAGATGGGATCTGTATGTCACTGAATTATGTAGAAAATTAGAAAAAACAATACAATTTTGTAAATGACTCAAAATTACCTCCCACATAAAGAAAATCCTTAAAGAAAATCATTTCAAGACCCTGAACTATACAATTGGGTCTTACGTCACAAAGAAAGAAATTGCTATTTCTATCTTACATTCAGATTGTAGCTATACCCCCATTCAATGTATTATTGCACTTTTAAACAGAAAAGAAGCTTAAAGTGCAAGGTCTTTTGGTACACACAAGAAAAAGTTTTCATGGTTAGTTCATAATGCACTGCAGGTTAGCAAAAGCAAACTGACAAATCTTTTCATACAAAAACAGGAGAATTCCAGATACATTAACTTGACAAAAGTATTTCATCACACATAAAAGTACTCACTGATCCTTTCACTGGAGTCCTGGCTCCTCTATTCCAAATATCCTGTTTTACATAAATAATCCATGAAATAAATTTTGAAACACAAAAAAGAAAAATGAAAACTTTTAACCTGTCTAGTAAGAAGATGTTTATACATCTGATTTCCTTAGTTTAAAGGCACCGAGGAAGAAGACTGCCAACACTAGATGGCCTTTCCCTTTCTGTGCAAGATTTGAGAAATTTCTGCTGTTAAAAAGAGTAATGATTCAACCCAATAACATTTAAAAAATAAAGAACAGACACAAAACTTTAGAAACATGAAATCAAAGCATTAACATTAATATGTGTCTCAAGTGTTGTTTGTTTTTTAGTTAACAGAATCCTTTTCACTGAACTCAGCATGATTTCATTATATACCACAAGGTCACATCATGATTGCGACAAAGCACAATGCAGCATAATAAACACAACCCATTTTAGAGGCCCATCTGGAAACTGCATAATGTTAGTCTGAGGAGCCTGACATTCCATTATCTCACTCGCATGCCAGTTTGCCATCAAAGCTAGAGAGTCCAATGGCAAAGGCCTGCAAAGCGCACATAGGGTAGTTGTAGTCCAGAGTAAAGACATCCTCTGCTACTCGGCCAAACTGCATCACTATGTAGTCGGCTGTGGAGAGACAGGCAGAGACATCAAGTTTAGTGTTTATCAAAGAGACTTGAGCTTCCTAGCAAGATATTTACACAACAGTGTAGACATGTGTCTGCATTTTAACCGCCTCTATCCAAAAAATATTTGAAATATTTGAAAGTACAGTATAAAGAGACACAAAAACATGAGTGAACATATGGAACATATGGGATCTCAAACTGTGAATGATAAATATATTTCATCATTATTTTCTTCATCTCTTATCAATGATCTGTTGGGAAAAGAGCTTCCCTATGCATTACCCACTAACATCTGAAAGCTATACCCATCCAGCTTGCTCCTGCAAACTGAATGACTTCATCTTGACATTTCACATGAAGATGTCTTCTTTTTTGTTTTTGTATCTTGGATTTCAGTTCAGTAATTCCATAGTTCATCTGTTTTTCACTCTTCAGGCTTCTGGTTTGAGCCATCCTCTTTTTTGTCTCCTCACTATTCCAATGATATCCAATGTTATTTCAAAGGAAATAAACGATAGAGAAAGGCCTTCCTAAAAGTGAATGACCCTATAGTAATTTGACCTTATTTGGTACAGGACAAAAGCCTGATGTTATTACATTGGGCTTTTATCCTGTACTAATCTATCCTGTACATACCCTGTACTGATTCTTATTTTCTAGTGTATATTCTTGCATGTGCCACAGGTTTTTTCCTGTGAAATACTCACGGTCGTTATCATGGACAATCTGAAAATTCTTCACAGAGGCCTGGGTGACCCTGCCGTGGAAATTGAGCACGTAGGACTGCGTGTCATCATTCCACACGGGTGTCTTGTTGTGCAGCTCAATGAGGTTATCTAAAGAATGGTTCTGCCACTTTGACAACAAGGTCTCATGATCCTGGAAATCAACCATTACAGACATGCATTCTAGTTTCAGCTTCAGTTCCTTAAAACCCTGCACCCCATTAAGATCATTTGTTAAATAGAGGTTTAAAATACATACTTTGAAAATGAGGTAATATGTCAGAATTCAGTCTGTTAGTAAGTAAAGGTGTATTTACAATCATTTCATCTTCTTATACTCTGGTACATCTTACTCGACAGACATTTAAGATGTAAACAGATCACCTAAAATTAAATTTTCAAAATCAGGTGTTAAAAGAGCTGAGGTTGATTTAAGATTAATCATACCACTTATTTTTTATATATTATAACTCACATTTTGTGGTCGAACAGGCACCCTCTCAAAATTCATATTCATCCCAGGAATTATTACAGTCATCTTCCGTGGACCTTTGAATCCCAGAACATTGGTTTCCTGAAGAGAATACAAATTGTTAACAAACTGTTAAGAGGTATTCAGAACATCTTACATGTGTGTAGTATACGGATAGGTGTAAATCATTCTGTTAAATTTAGAGCACAACAAACATTCCTAAAAAATCCTTTTAATGAGAAGAGCCCAATATACTGGACTCACCCAAGTTAGAGAACACACAAAATAAATATGCCAAGGACAGTAAAACACAGTATTTAAGCTAATAGCATCAAGGGAAGAAGACAAAGAAGAATCTTAATAGCAAAGATCTGACAACAGCCTTACATTAGATCATAAAGGACTTCCATATAATCAACTAAAATTAAGGTTACTCATTTAATATTGTTGTTAAATGATTAATATTGTTAGTCTAATATCCTCCTACTTTTGTTGTTATTGGTTAATCATTCAATATTCTCATTTTATCAGCCTGGGAAAAGTATAAACTGAAATATCAGTTTCATCACGAGAGACTAACAGTTGGAAGAATGCTATACAGTTAAAAAGGTTCTGCAATTCCTTTAAATAACTTGTAAGAATTCGTTGTACAGTTTCTAGACTTTTAAGGCTGCTGTTGTCAGCTTGTCTTCAGAGTCGATTCTGGGATACATTCAAGGGAGTATGTGACATGAGCCAAGAGTACGATCTTAAAGTGTGTTCAGAGTTAGTTTAAAGTTCTTGTTAGAGACTTAGAAAGATATGGAGTACATATACATAGTAAAAGTGCCTCCCTCGACTTTTAATTTGTTTAATCATTCAGGTCCTGATCTGTATACAGCAAACATGAAACCCAATGGTCTGATCCTCAATTGTTGTTCATATCTTGGTACCACCTGCTAGTGGGGATTGGTTGGCTAACTTACAGTTATTCTCTCCATCATTTTTATAAGAATCACAACAGGGTTTGGTACAGGGTTTACTTGACCAAAGAATGTTATTCACAGACTAGAAAAGACTGGTTGACATTTCAGCAGAATATCATCTGTTTAACATTTGCTAGTTGCTTATTGTCACAGTGTTCTTCTTTCCTCCAGAGAGATCAAATCATGCAGGAAAGACCCAAAGTTCTCCTTTGAATTACAAATCTTAAACTGGAAACAAAGTAGTACAACAATAATGACTGGGTGGTACATTTGGCATTCTAGTATTTTCTTATAAGACAGTAACACTTGAGTAGTTTGTGTTAGCAGCAATATCAGTTTGAGTATACTTAAATACAGCAATGCAGCAATACCTTACTTAGTGCTGAGCATGCATTTCATAGAAAGGAGTGCGGTGTAAAATGGCCCTAATAGAGGCAATTATAGCATGGTTTCAAAGGGGATGCATTCAAAGAAGAGCCATTTCTTACATATGAGTGCTTTATAAAGAATGCATTGAGCTATCAGTAATGGCGGTACCACAGCATATAACAAAATAACCCTTATTATTCAAACAGATTATTTTTAAATATAGCAGCAGAAGAAATACAGTTCATAACATTTCACAACATACCAAACATCCAGCTGGAACTTTACACAGATTAAACACTGTATGCCTTTGTCCTGCAACTTGGCAGCTGGTGGAGTCAGATGGTGGCCTGAGCTACTGTACATCTGGCAGAATGAGCCAGGCTGTGGTCTTTCTTTGGTCTAGATGGGCCTAATCTTATTTGTACCTTTTCCAGATTACCACTCATGGTTATGGCAGTTATCTAACCATTCAATTGCAAAATGTTATCACCAAAAATGTGTTTGTGTACCCGATACATCAGAAGTCACAAGAAAAAAACTTAATTCAAACAGGTCCTACTTAAGTAGATCCTGAGTGGACTGAGCCCAGTCGTCCAACAATGTTCCTCATGTTGACTTGGATTCTAGTGTCACACCAAGGAAAGTGAGTGGGAGGAAAGCTAAGTTGCTTTTTTGTAGGCTTTTTTTCTGCAGTATTCCATCGCCAATAGTGCCAACAACACATACATGAGTTAGTTTTCTATTGCATCCAACACCCTGATGCCCTGGCATCTATTTTAATTTTTAGAATGCGTATGGTGCCAGCAAGAAGCCAACTTCAGCAGGCTGAGGAGGTTGGAGACATGATGAGGACAAAAAATATCTCACTTAGGCACAAAGAAATCCCCTCATCCATCACTATACGTGCACAATTGTTTCCAAAAATTTGCTCATGCATCAAAACTTGTAATTTAGTTTTAGTTTAACTTCGTTCCAAGTGCTCACTAGGGGATATAAACCAATTGATTTAGTTATCTTTATGATGTATTTGGATAGTTTTGCACCATAAATCGCTAAGTATATGTTACAAAATGCAGAATTTACAAACACTTCTTTTATAAGCAAGATGCAAAGCTTAAATTTATTATGAAACAGTAATGTGGAGAAATAAAAGTTAATGATTGCCATAGTAGAGATATAATGTGCTTAATACAGTACATGTAACGTACATTTTAGCAACAGCTTATAATGCTCTGTTGCTACTACTGCTTAAGTGGGATTCTGATACAATGGTGAACCCTTTCTATCAATTCAGTTGTAACTTCATGCACACTGATATGTGATGGTACTGCAGATTGACCAAGTTTCATCAAGTCACCTGTAATGCTCAGAAATTTCATAGAAGTACAGAGGACCACTAGGGATAGTGCTATGGTTCATTTTTATGGGAAATTCAAGATTCATAGATTCAAGATTTATAGACGGTAGTTGCTCTATTTCAGATTGTCATCTGGTAAATGTAAAAATACACCATCCCTCTATGTTCACACCAGGGTGTTCATCAGTGGCTCTTCAGTTCAAAAATTACCTTTAAAACTATTATGGAGATTCCAATCAACACTATTATTGTATTACTCTATTCATATAAGTATACATTTACTAGCACCACACTGTTTCAAAACATTTTATACAAGTTTTAAGACTCATGAGAAACTTTGACCATCTGCAAAGACACAAGACAGTTACAGAAAGTCTGCATACAGTATGTTTATCTAGTTTAGATTGTCAAAAAACTGCCTTGTAACAACTGGATGATACCAAAAATTATTTTTTAATGATCTCTATTAAATGACAGTACATGACAAGGAATTATACTGAAATGACAAATATTGGGACACCACTGCTTTTTAATACCTTATATCACCATTTTATTTATGAAAGTGTGTGCCACAGCAACAGCAACAGCTTATAATGAATAATAATCAATAAATGGTAACAGGCAGCACATTTTGTAAAGTATTTTTTCATATAGCATTTCTTTAAAGTATTACCAGCTTCAGATGATTAGATACTACAATTCCATGTCTTAAAGATGTTTTGTTTTTACTTTCAAAATAAACATTCTTATTTAATTGCTTTAATCAGTTTTAAGTCTATAAAGTACACTGGTTATATTATGCAGTGTGGACATCTGTGTGGTACTTAATAAAATGAAAATTCAATTTTAAAATGCTGCACACAGGTTAATAGTATTTGAAAGCAGGCAGTAGAATGTCTCAATTTTCAGCTCTAATTAAAATGAGAAATACTGTATGTTTCAGGGTCATTTCAATTCTTCCTAACTTTTTATTTTCCTTTCTGTATGCTAGTTTATCATACTGTACAAGCTAGGTTTCTAAAGAACAAAGTGAATACAAACCTGTGAGTTTTCTCAACAGTTATTAAGCGTCAATCCCAGAACACATGCTCTGAGGAGTTAAGCGTATCATAAACCCTATAAAAGGGGTCTCGTAAGGTTCTTTTCAGAGACAGGAGGTGTAGTACTCACATAGCAGATGGCAGCCAGCTCTTGGCGGGTGTTGCTTTCCTCAAGAAGGCCCTGGGCCTTGCTTGGGTTTGTTCCATTATCATAGACAGTAAACTTGGTCCCCATGAGGTTTGACCTAATAAAAGAGTCATCATACAGCATTGAGTTACTACAGTCATAGTAGTCATAGTCATAGGGAGGCTTTAGTAAAAAAAACAGTATCCCTGCATTTTGCCCCCATCCCCGTTCCTGAAGTACCCCTGTGCTATCAGGTTTTTGTACCGTAAGATCATTTTATTAGTACTTAATAAACTATTATTTAGACAGAAGTCTAAAATAAAAATATTTTGTGTATTGAAATGCAATGCAGTGAAATGTTGCTCTGCCGTACCTTTCTTTGCAAATTGACTATCAATTAAGGTTGTACTAAAAAAAGTGGGAATGATACTACATGAAACACTCTCATACTTTACATTCTTTGCTGTGTATAAACTCTACCTGAACATTTAAAAAATAATCCTAAATAACAGGAGATTCTGAATCCAAGCATCTCGCACAGGATTAATGTAATTTTCAAACAATGGCCTACAATATAAGAGCTGTCCAATAAAGTTTATTTAAGAAAGAGCACAGCTGGAATGAAAAACCAAAAGATCAAGGGGTTCTTAAGATTTAAACCTGGAAAATACTGGGCTACTCATACCTCATTAAAACACAAGTTAGAAAATACCCAGCTGTGACCATAGACATCAATTTGTTTTGTATCTACACTGAGAGGCATTAAAATGCAATAAATGAGCAACAATAACCAATAGCTTTTGTGATGTTTTTAATGTCCCTGAGCATATTTCACATCTTGACTGAACAGTTTCAGGACCACCTTGACATTTAAAAATGGATAACATTTCATTTTAGCTCGACTCCTTTTGCCATTTACATTGTCCTACAGGAAACTACACCCACCAATTTAAGGGATGGCATAACGAAAGGAGATGGCAGAAACCTGTGTTCTTTGACAAATGGCTGTAAATTAAAGAAAAAACATCCAACCGTGGCACATAATATTTTTTACTAGATACAAATAATAATAATAAAAAAGCAAGAAGATAAAAGATGCATATATGTATCATTTACTGTTAAATCACAGAGAACAACTATATTTGTCTAAAAATAAAGCTTATGATAAAATGCCTAATGCACAGTAGTATAACAGTGTTTAATCTTAAAGGAGAAAAATATCTCAAAACCACATGGGTGGTGGGGGGAGAGTACCTCAACTTTCCCACAAAACTCTCTCCTTCCCTGGAGAGGTCAGTGGGATCCACTGAAATCAGGTAGTTAGAGGTTTTGCTCTTCTTCCTTTTCCTGCCAGCAAGCAAAAAAACCTGGGAGCATGAAGAAAAGACAACAGGAACAGACTCTGTTACTGATGAACATGAAGGGTACTACACTTTTTTGTCAATCTTTTATCTAACCGGATAAGCAAACTGAAAATAACTATTATATTTACCTGACTATAAGCTAACACTTTTTTCCCCAAATTTCAGGGTGGTACAATTGGCCTGAAGATTACAGTATATTGCAATACACGCAAAACAATTCTGAAGTTGATCTGTTTGTTGATATATTTACCACCAGAGTATTGAACAGTCTGTGCATACTGTAGGTTTTGGCATGTTGTTGCAATCGAATTATATAAAACTTGAATATTCATTTTTAGATATCCACAATGAACAAGAGGTCACAGTGCACATTTGCAACCAAGAAGGAGGTTATCCTGTGTGCTGAACAGTATGGGAATCACCAGGCTTGAAGACTGTTTTTAGTTGATTCCCCGTCACAACAGATATGATCAAGTTTAAAAACCCTTGAGGGATCTACTGTACACAATTAAACAATCCAATTCACAAATTCAGAGCGACTCATTTTTGAAGAACACATTTCATCAGGAGGAATGGGTTTTATCATTGTGGTGTTGTCCTAAAGACTAGGTAACCTTGCTTCTCAGTTTGCTTTGATCTCATTCACCCAAAACATCCTCATACCACCCCTCCCCACACACACATGTATTCTGGATATCAGAGAGTTTTCTGTATTATTTGCATTTTGTATTTTAAACTCTTCTCCATTTTCCTTTATTTATATGAAACCAAGAACATCTATTCAGAAAGGTAAATTTTGCTTTTAAAGTAATTTCCACAGTCCATATACTTATGGGTAGCTTATACCTGGGTAAATACAATACTTCATACAAGAAATAATAATAGGCTTTGTTTAAAGTTTTTTTTAAAGCAATTACTCAAAGCAGCTGACAATACATAAAAGGCACATCACAACATGAAATTAAAACTACAATGCAAATGAAAAAAAAATAGATACGGAAGATAAAACTATAAAAAAAAGCCTTTTTGAAAAAGCAAATTGGCTGGACTGGAAAAGCAACCAATGTGAATGAGATCCTGTCATTTGTAAAAGCTTTCTAGAATTTGGAGGAACCTGAGCATGAATCAGCCTTTAAACAATTTGGATATTTGTTAGTCTGCCAATATTATGCATAAAAAATTAAATCCAAGATTGAACATCCTCCCCATATTATAAATTCTGGGATGAAACTCAAGTACACTGCCATCTATTAACAAGGTTACAGCAATTGTTTTACATATCAGATAAGAGGAACCTAATATGATGACCTTAATCTCCACAGAGCTAGACAATGATTTATATCAGAGAATGCCATCACACAGCACATAAGGTACAGATAAACATGCCTGCATCATTTACAAATAGCTTTTATTCAGGCCATATACTTTTAGCATTTGAGCAAACTGTAAATTCTACAAGAGGGCGCAGTATTGAACCTTGTGTGATACCAGATGTAACCCACCCAATCTTGAAACTGAAACTACTCAGAGAAATAAAATGTTGATACTCAATAAGGAAAAGTTTACACTATTTAAGGACAGTTAAAGAGATGCCAAAGAAATTTTCCTACTGAGCAAGTAGGATGTCATGGGTTATACTCTCAATAACATCTAAGAAATCTAAGAGAATTTGCAGCCAAATCAGCTGTCATATAACCTGATTTTTAATCAGAGAAGTTTTGTTGCTGTAACACTGTTTAAAGCCACATTGAAGGCTTAAAATTTCTTTTTACAGCTTTTTAGTTGAACTGCAATAGTTCACATTCCAAGATCTTTGCAAAAAAGAAGACCAATTAGATATGTAGTGAAAATGATTCAGATTATGAGTAGCCATGTTAGGAGTTTCAGTCACTGACATGGCTACAGCAGTTTTAAAACTGCTGGTACCAAACTAAAGGTCAAAAAGTGTTAAGTGTTATGTTATTATGTTAAGAACCAAGGTGCAAAACACAGAGAAATCGAAGCAAAATAAAAAAGGGAATATGGGGTCCAACAAACAGGAAGTGGATTTCATACACGATAACAATTCAGTAGGATATGCAAAAATAAAATGTGTAAAATAAAAAAGTGCCCAACCAACAGTTGTTCACACAAGGAGGAAGTGCCATAAAGGTATGTGAGTTGAGAATGTTGTGTGAGATGTTATCTTAGTTGTGAAGACATTTAGAAAATAGTGCATAAATGAGATAATGCAATAATGTAACGGGACAGTTAAGCAAATGATTGAAAAAAAATATGATTATTTTGATTATTCTCAATATTGTGAGAAAATCAATCTATCTAGTTCTCTGTATGGCATCATGCTCAGTGTCATACTGCTTAAATGATGGATTGGCTACCTACAGTATAACCGTCAGAGTGCAACTTGTTGATATACCATTTTAACAAGGGCAAAGGTATCAAGTGTTTATGTAAGATACCTATTGAACAACTGTTGAATAACTCATTTTTCATTAGTACTGGCAACAGGTAAACCAAATGGTGAAGAATGAAGCAAATATGATTTGGTCAATTGAATAAAAATTGCACATATACAGACAGAAAAGAGGGCTAAGAAACTCCATATCAAAAACAATAGTCACGTGATCAGAAAGACCCAAATCGAGATTAGATAAAATCCACAACAGGCTAGAGACAAAAGCTATTAGAAATTCCTAAAAGCAAGAAATGACCTTTGTCATGAGTTGGATCATGGACAACTGTGTAAGGCCAAAAACAACCCAGAAGTGATAGATATTCCACGTCCAGACTGGAATGATGTGAGCATATCAAAATCATTCAGGATTCAAATTTTTGATTCTGTGACTGCCCTGCGATGGACTGGTGTCCCATCTAGGATTTACCCCACCTTGCCCCCGTCGCTTACAAGGATAGGCTTTGGCTCCCCTGCAACCCTGACAATGACAATAGCAGTTTTAAAATGGATGGATGAATGGAAGTACTGTACCAAGGTGAATTGAGTGTAGGCAGCAGAGTTCTACACTCAACAGAATGGCGATAGTACAGAGACATTTCTAAGAGTAGATTCATGGTAATACTAAAACATGAGAGAAAATGGAAAGCAATTTTGCTTTATTGTAGCTGTACAGCAGTACTATTGAGGGCCTTTTGAACGTGAGATATACAGTATAGGCAGATCTTAATTATCTTAATCAATTCATAACTAGAAACCTTGGGAGAAAGAAATGCTTATATAAAGAGTCAATGAGAGAATATCATTTTGTAATGATAATAATGTCTGGCATTTGTATAGTCACTATTATTCTGAACGATGACAGTCATTATAGGATGGAATGAACTCCTTTTGGCAAGCACACTCATTATGCTTACAATGGCGGCCCATTTTTCACTAGCAGCTCAATTATCAACAAATTATGTGAAGTGAGGAATTACTGAACATTTATACCATTTCTGGTGGCCTGGGAATGGGAGCATAAATTGGAATTTTGGCTCCAGTCAGCACCTTATTTATTTGACAACTGAATTGATTTTTAAATGGCATTACATAGTCAGGGCTTAAAAATGTCTCGTACAAAGAAGAGTACAGTCTCCATTCACAGCACACTAAAACATTAGTTTAGAATTTCAGTAACACTACTAGTTCCAACTGCAACCTGATTTCTCCTCCCCAATGCTGACCAAAACCAGCCTTTTTTTAATTTGACCTGATAAGGCCTCTAAGGCTCTTTATCATTTCCCCACAGCCTGGTCTCTCTAACCTTTTTGTTGTCATCCTTCTCCAGGTGCATGAAGTAGGTGGGATACAGACCCCGGTCCATGCCCTTCTTGTCCCTTGTGATACGACACTTTACAGTAATCCCACGAGGTGCAGGCTGCAGTGCAAACTCTTCCAGGTTGTCCACCTCAATGGAAGATCCGTTAGTCTCAGGGGAGCCTTGGTTGGCCCTCTCCTGCAAACATGGGACATTTGTTTTAACATTTCTTCACAAAATGCTTCAATGGTTCCCCAACTACCTGCTCTTCATCAAGATTTTAGACAGGTTTTCTTTCCATTAGTATGCAAGTCTGATTATCAAAACTTGTCTGTATCTGTGTCCAAGAACACCAATATAATTTCTCTATGACATCCTGGAACTGATTTGCCCCCTAAACACCAATGAATACAAAAGGAAGATTTCAGCTGCAGCACTAAGAAGGAATATGCCTGTACAGTTTTTGTATTCAATTCTGACTCTATGCCCAGGGTGCTCTTAAGAATTTTAATAGAGTGGTAAAACCCTGGTACACATGTATTCTTCTGTGACCTCTTATTAACTAGGAAGACAGTTCCCTTCACCCAATCAATCTGTGCTTGTCAAAATCCTTGAATTCAAGATCCTTCAATCTTCTGTAAGTCACAAGACTGCACTGTTCTACAGCAATAAACTCCCTGATATCGACCTGCAGACAGTAAATGACTAAGAGCTAGGGCAAGAAAAGGTTTTACCGTGTTAGACTTGCTGCTGGATGCAGAAGCAGGCCGGGGGATTTCAGCATGTGGGGAATGGGACCGGGCATTCTCTTCCTCCTCTGCTTCTTCATCACTATCCTCATCAAAGTTGAGGCTTCCAGAGATCCCTGCCAGTACACAGAAGTGTAACAAGAATTTCCTCCTAAAGCAGTTCCCTCGACACAAAGGCATCTATACCCAGAACACCTGATTGAGGCCAAGTAAATTAAATGTAACTGCAATACATTCCTTCTGTTAAAAACACCAAATCAACACAAGCAACAACACTGCAATGCATCATTTCTGCTTCAATTGGGTTATGGAAGCTGACAGAAATTGATTAATCAGCACAGATCATTTACATTGTAAAAATGTGTATTTTACAATACTGATTATGAAAGCAGGACCTTACATCAATGACAGCAACCCAGGATATATATTGTACAAGCAAACTTATAACAGAATTTATCTATAACATTCCTCTTATTTCTCATAATGCAGATTTTATTTTCCATCTGTACAAAAATAGGAATATCATAAGAATAAAAGTGTAATGGCATTATGAAGAAAAAAGTGTTTTAGATTAAGTAGAAATGTCCGGAAAGTAAAAAAGTAAGGTTCTTTTTCTGAACTGCTCCTTTTATGTCCCCAAAGTGAAAACCCTGTGAGAAAATTCACTTCATTAACACGATAGATCATTCTGCTGTAGGCAAAAGAAAATGAAGATCTTAGAAAAATAACATCAAGCTGGGAATAACTACCTGTCAGATAAGACAGCAGCGAAGGAAAGCAGTGCAGATTAAAGTTACCCTTTAAACCCAAGATCCTAAGAGAGTTGGCCTTTCACCATTTCAACAATCTAGTCACCCAAGGCTGAAGGCTAGAGTATCCCCTTTCACAGGCAGTCTCTAAGCACAAATTGAATTAAGTAAATGTAATAATTTATACCAATTAGAAAGCTAAATATAAATTAAAGTCACTAGTGGGGCCTTTAAAAGTGAACTGAAATTCATTGAAACAGCTTTGGAAAACACATCAGGTTTAGCCAAAGGCAGACCCTGAGACTACCAGCATAGAGCATATTGAATAGAACTTCCACAAAGCATAATAAATCACTCTCGGCACTTACCACTGTTTTTTACAGGATATGCATGATAGTTCTATATAAATCTGTATGGTAAATTCATACTATTACCATGATTTTACTCCACAGTGTACTGTAGCATACATGGTTCTTTTGTATGCTTTTGCCAAGTGATTAACTACACTAGACAACAATATTATCATAATTTAAGTTAATGGTATGTTTGTGACACTACCATGTCATGGTAAGCCTTCTAACTGAAACCTGATATAGGGGACACACGCTAATTTAAACTACAGTACATTAATCTGAGACACAAACAGATAATTGCATACATTTGATTATACTATATTACATTTTAACAAAAATTAAATAGTCTAATCAAAAACCAGCAAATTGTTGTCCTTTTAAAATATCTCTAAGAGTCTCTAAAATCTTTTAATTATACCTGGGCTGGGCAACTGTTTTTTTTTTGCAAAAAAAAAAACAAAAATGAGAAATACTGATGCTTACCTGCTTAACTACAGCATACAGTATGTCTGATCATCTAATTAGGAAACAAGCATGTGCTTAAAACTCAGGAAATCCAAGAGTGCAAATAAATTTCAAAATTTATTTTCCCACTGCACAGAAAAATAAGAAAGACATAAACAGTCTATTCACAATGCTATAATTGCCCACTTTTTAAGGAGGTTTTAAGTTTTTATTTGGTGGGATTAATCTTTGTTTCAACTATGCAGTCTCACATCACAGAAGTCATCTGCTGCAGCTGGTTTTCTCATCACTCCTTAAGTACACATTAGGATGTCTTATCCTAATGTGTTTCATCTCTTTGTTTTGAAATGTCCTGTTGTAAATTAACAGAAGTTGGCTTTGATCCTGTGAAAAGGGGACAGCTCTGTGCCTCCAAGCCTCTCCCAGTGAAAAATCTCTGGCTGGTAATCCATTGTACTACCTGATTGAATCAATTTCTCTCGGGCAGACAGGGGACGCAATGGCCCCACAGATGCCCCTTCCTGGGGACATTTCTCATCCTCTTCATCGTTAGCCTGGCTTCCTAAAACCACAACCCTCGCACGAGGGTTCTCTGCAAGACAAGGTGAGGGGGCCCGCTCACCAGGAGCATGCTCAGGGACCCATGCTGCTGTGAACAGAATTGCACAGTTCAATGTGCAGGATTAGTATAAGATAAGATAAGATCACTTTATTAGCCATATACAATTTCTTGCATTAGGAATTAGTCTTTTTTTGCATACTCCAGCTTGCTCTCCATGAGACACAGGCACACAGACAGGGAAAGAAGCTTGGGGTCAGATCACAAGGTCAGCCATTGTACAGCGCCCCTGGAGCAGTTGGGTTTAAAGGCCTTGCTCAGGGGCCCAACGGCGTAGGATCCCTTTGCCGGCCATGGGATTTGAACCGGCAACCTTCCAGCCACAGGAGCAGATCCTTAGCCACAGTGCCACCGCTCCACCCCGATTAGTAGTAGACCTGTGATGATTCATACGAATGATTCATAGTATGTGACTTTGTGACATACTACACGGACACAATGTTTTAAGAAACATTTTGAAGAAGATGTGTCTATGGGATTATTCCTGGGTGTTTCTGTAAGTCTGCAAATACAAGGTGAGTTTTGAGCAAAAATGGAGGTTTCTCAAATATTAAATTAAGATGTATTACATCTCCCAGCAATTCTGACTCTTAAAAATTCACTTGATGAGAGAAGACCGTTGGAAGGATTGTCAGTGCAATCAGCAATCTCTTAAAAAGCAATATGGGAAAAAGAGTGTTCTTTAAACATGGCCTTCGTGACTGCTAAATAAAGCAGACATAACAAAAAGCATATCACCTAAAGAGTTTATCTCAGGACTAAAAAATATATGGTGTATTGAATGATCTAAAAGATGACCTAGAGATTCTCACACATGCTATACCCACAATGGTAAAATGATTACACATACTGTACATTATGTTCAAGCCTCTACCTCCTTTCAGGGAACTGTGGGTATAGATGTTGGCATTTTTCGCTTTCTCATGTGGTGTGATTTATGCTTCATGCTTCATTGAGATGAACACACAAATTACTATTTTCCCCTAAAAGCAGGATTGACCTTCAAGTCTCTACCACTTAAACCTTCAGTTCATTCTATGCATGTGTATAAAAGGTGGAATCATACCTATTCTATTATATGTGCAAGTGAGTTGTAATTCAAACTTAACAATTACTAATGTTGTAATGGCAAGGTCAATTTTTAATTCTTAGGAATAGCTGTATTTATACTGCATACTGCAATATTCTGAAATCTGTAGCAAAACCCCTACAACGTTCCAAAGTATTACAACATATATTTAAGTTCTTCTCATTAATATATCATATTTCAATACATAGAACATAGTGTGTACTTTCCTGAACACAACTGCAGATTTCTTTATGTTTGTGCCATGACTGGCCTTTCTAGGTTACATCTGTCTCTTGGTGTTATGCTCAGATGACAACCAGCAATGAGACATATTGTATTGCAATATGCTTACCACCTGTATACTTGTACTTAC